TCACCGTAGTCTCGAAACCGTCTGCCGGAAGTGGAACTCTTGCGTAAAAGTGTCACGAAAGCACTAACTCTCCAATTTTTGGTGGCTGGAAATGCATAAGAACGTCTGCTTTGAGGTCGTCGTAAAGGATCTCCACCAATTTTTTGCCGCTCTTTTTGTCACAGCTAGGCGCAACCTCTCGTAAATTGCATCATCGTGCGTATATTCTAATAGATTCTGCCTTTCATGAAAACGTCGTAGTCTACGTTGCCGTCTGGCGGTACGGTTAGCAAGAAAGGTAGCCGCCATATTGGATACAAAGACAGACGACAGACAACGGTAACTAAGCAACCTTTTTATTTCACTCATTACGCATGCGTACGATGAAACTCTAGAGTTAGCGACTGGTCTGACCAGTCGTTAAGTATCCAAGGCAACAACGAGACAATAACGAGCGAGAGAACTAGCGACTGCTTCGTGAAACGGCACTATAACTAGCGAGAGGCTAACTACCGATCGCTAACTAACTACTGCTTTGTGAAACCGGCCCCTGGAGACCCTGGTATTTGTTGCGTATCTACTGTATTGTTGTGATCGGAGTTTTTTCCTTCCTCCACCTGGTCTGCTCTTCATGTGCCAAGATAGGCCACCTCAGGTGAGTGAGTTAGGCCAGGTGGGGACAGCACGCCCCCTGCAGGAGATCGTCACTATTGTGACATCACAACTGTCACAGATCATTGTCTAAGATTCTGCACTCCGTACCGGACGTGTCCAGATTGACGATCCCCAGAAATATTCTATCAAAGAGCATAACAATAGACAGCGATCACTCACCAATTCAGTAAGTAGACACAGTGAATACTTTATTGGCAACAAGGAAATGTTCTATCTGAATTTCAGGATGTTTTTGCTAGAGACGAGTATGACCTTGGTCGGTTTAGTGCCATCGAGCATGGTATCTATACTGGGAATGCCAAACCGCTTAAAACGCGTATGCGGCGAACTCCCGCGTGTTTTATTCAAGAAGAGGAGGCATTATTAACAAAAATGTTAAAAGCCGGGTCTGTTAATGGAATAAGTCAAACACGTGGATATAACTGAACCGGAAGTGCTCTGGGAGCCTTTATTATATAACAAGTATCAATAAGAGGGAGCATCCCTTAACATCCTCCTTTTCCCATAAAAAAAAGAAAAAAAACAAAAAACAACTATAATAATCACGAACTAGTCAACATTTCAAAATAAACGCAATAACTTGAAACATTGTAAATGTTTTTTTTTTTTTTTAATTTTTTTTTTTTTTAATCTGAAAAAGCCCATATCATATGTTTAATTATGTTTTAAGATCAATTTAAGCCACTTTCTGGTTTATATTGTCCTGACTTTTGAATTTGGAGCACTACTCAAAAAAATATATTATAATAAAAAA